AGCATCCTATAGTTTTTATAATAAGATAGTTTTCTTCTGAAATTGATGTTTATTAAGTAAATGCTTAAATTGTTTCAATTAGTTTAAAGAATTTCTAGGAGTAACAATATTACTACATAATTTTCTTTTAAACAATTTGCTCATTATAGCCAAGTCCTTCATTTCACAAAGTGATTTACAGACGCTTTTCCTTACAAATTGTAAATATATTATACAGGGTGTTTTCAATAAATTTCAAATAGACTGTTTTTCAGTGTATCTGTTTAATTTTGAAATGAAAATAATTTTTAAACATAAAACTGTGTACTCCCTTCACAAGAATTATAGTTAAACAGGCAATTTGAAATTATATTGTTATTTTTCAAAATTAAAATAAATGCTAAATGACTTAATAAATTGTTAATTCACGATGGGATCTGACATATCAAATTTGACAGTCACTACATGTTGGAAATTCTATTGTTAAAAGCATTTGACATGCAATATTAATATGCGTACCTGCTAGGATCTAGGATAACATTAATTGCAAGTCATTCTGAAAACATTCGCCTTGAAAATTGATTCTTGCTTGTAATAGTATGTTCCTGCAGGAACAATCCTTAATCCTTAATTTTATTCTAAAAACATTTGTCCTTTAGCAACCAACAACCTTTCAAGGCATGCCTAATAGGATAATAAACTCCGACAGTGACAGCAAATTATTAGGAAAACATTAGTTACGAAAATAACCTTTGACAGTTAACACATTCCATTCTAAAAACATTTGCCGCAGGAATTAACAACTGCCTGTCAAACAGTCCTATGCTAGGACAATAATAACCTCAATGATATGACATTTTCATTGGAAGCACGGTACTGTAGACAAAATTTTCCAAATGTCGTAGTGAACGAATTTGTAATGTTAATATGTCAAATATCCATTTATGGCAGATATGACATACATTTCATAAATATGAGAAAACTTATAAAATCCTGTGTGTTGAATAAAATAAATATATATGTGGATATATACTTACGTAGTTACTTATACGTATATATAAATCCGTTTCAATATCTATCTCAGCATCTTGTGTTTTACAAGGAATCACACGCCGCGTAAGAGTTAAAAAATCTTCCTTTATAATCATTGTCCTAGATCTGTCGAAAGTTTTGTAATTAAAAAAAGAAAAAGGGACTCGACGATTGTGAGAAATTGTTAGTTGTTGACAGATCTCAGTAAGAAGAAACAAATAAACGAACAACGGAAGAAACGAGAGATCAGACATCCTGCGATAGTGCAAATGTGTATATATGAGGATGAATAATATATACAGGGCGATTAACGTAGAACGAACAAAGCACCTTATTAGAACGGGATTCAGAGGATTATTTCTTTTGCTTTTACCCAAATTTGTCCTTCAAATGAATGAAAAGTTAAAAGATAGGCTTTTCCGAAATTTGCAGTCATTTTTCTATAATAGTTAAACCCAAACGTATCATTTTTGTGATACACTCTATATATGGATACGTCTGTAGGAAGACTTGTTACGTATTCAGTTAGAAGAGGAAAAATAAAGGAATAGGCCGATCCGCGGCAATTCATTTCTATCAGTACGAAATCTCATCTCAGTATTTATCGAGCCGTAAACGGCCTTAGGTTATCAGTTATTATTAAGCGATGCGCTTGTTTAAATCTGGTTGAAAGTTGTAATTATTGTTACCGATTAACGATGCGATATTACAGCGATCGCTTTCGACTTCGGAACCAACTCTTCACGTTCGGAACGTGTCATTAAAACACAAAAACAAGCCGTGATTCTGCAATGCCACCAACGACTTATGCATTAGGTATTACCCACAAGTCTTTTTGTCGTTGCAGCATCTATTATTGATGTCAATGCATACAGTTGGGCCGATGAAAATTGGCAAAGTCCGCAATAAATTATCTGTGAGAATGGACGTATCTTTATAGCAGTATTAGCATCTAGCAAGGAGGACCTAGAGATAGCTTTAAATAAAATGGAAGCTGTCCTGACAGATCAGTACTGTATGATAATAAATAAAAGTGAAACTAAAATACTGGTATGCAAGGAAGAAAAAGTATGGAAAGGGCGAATATAAAGATAGGAGACGAAAAATTAGAAGAAGTGGCTGATTTTAAATACCTAGGAAGTCAGATAAGTCAGGATGGAAGGAGTAGTAGGGATATAAAGCAGAGGATAGCGCAGGGTCGTCTCGCCTTTAATAAAAAGAAGTCACTTCTATGCTCGCGAACGGTTAATCTGGAAATTCGAAAAAGGTTGTTAAAGGTGTATGTTTGGAGCACGGCGTTGTACGGGTGCGAAACATGGACGGTGGGCGCGGCGGAAAGGAAAAGGTTAGAAGCGTTCGAAATGTGGTGTTATAGGCGGATGATGAGGATATCGTGAGTAGAAAAGGTTAGAAATGAAGAGGTATTGGAAAGAATAGGAGAACAGATGGAAGTCAATAAAAAATAGGCGAGATAGGTTGGTAAGACACCTTCTCAGGCATGAAGGTCTAGTCAGAGACATATTAGAGGCAGAATCAGGAGTTAGGAGGGGTAGAGGTAGACCTAGATTAGATTACTGTTCGCAAATAGTTAAGGATGTGGGCTGTTCTAGTTTTAAGGAAATGCGAAGTTTAGCTCAGGATAGGAAACAGTGGAGGTACGTGTCCAACCAGTCTTAGGACTGACGACCTTATGATGATGATGATGAGACGTATCTTCTTTCTTGTTCCCACTTACGACTGTAGTAATTTGCTGCGTTTTGAACACGCCCTTGTTAAGTTAGGAAAAACTTCATGAGTAGTGCAGACAATGTGAAAAGAGATAACCGAATAATAGTAAGCTGTGCAGCGGTTAGACGTTGCTTAGGTAACCCAAAATAAGGGTCGGCTTTATAACTGTCTGGTTGGAAATATCTTTAAACAAGCGTCTTTTCTTTCCTAAATTTCTGAGAATGGTGAACTTTTTCTAAAGTCCGATGCTGGCAACATGCTCAAATTCTGCTCGTCTGCATCTCTTTCTGTTACATATTAATTGGTGTAATGTTATTCCTTTATCTTTATTAGTGTCCGCTGCAATTTTTACGTGACATCTCTTTCTGTTTACGATATTCCCTACGTCTGTCGTGAGCAAAAGTAAATGTTCTGTCAACAACCGCTCTAGTCTAGTTAGTAAGTAAATGTGACAGTTTTATTACGGACTATGCCAATTTTAATGTTCTAGTGTGGGTATTTGTCTGTATGTTTGTTTGTCTCAGTTAGTCGTGAAAAAACAAGTGGAAAATTTCACTTTTCGGTTAAAGATTTCAAAAGGTTTAGAAGGTTTTGTCAAATTACATCCGACTTTTTTTGAGGTTTAAAATATATTTGCGAATTAAAACGCAAAAAAAACTGTTTTCGGCTTGCAATTTTAATATATAGAAGCACAATAGCTTATAGTACATCATTCTGGAGCTAATTAACGGTTATAAAAATTTAAAAATTAATTAAATTTAAAAGTTTAAATAAAAGATGGAAGGAAAAAAACAATTGGAAAAAAGTAGGATGACCTAACTAAATGTCTATATTCGGGTTGCTTACACGTACATACATTAACGTAAACCTACATTATAAAATTATTAAAAAGTGTTAAGGGTGAAGTGCTAAACAGTAAGATTTTCGAATAGGTTACAGTGGGAATTACTTTTATAATTTATTTTCTGAATTGGTTTCTACAGGTGTATGATGTAATAGCAATCTCTCAGAAACTTGACAGTACATCACTTCATGCCAATTACTAAAACAATACTTTGCAACCCTATCAATTTCATACTCTCTTATATGAAATTTTATAATGATTTATTGAATCCTCTTAGTTCGATCTAAAGTGCTATAACCGATATATTGAAAAAATAAATCTAAATCGTTTCGTGCGTACTTCAAAATCCGTGAAAAGAGACTTATCAAGAATATTTTCGTAATCTTTGTAAAACTAGCCCACTTGGTATGTACGTAATGATAATAAGAATAGAGCAGTTAAGAGCATTTGAATGTATTACTATTAGTTGACAATAAGGGACAGAAAGTATGTTTTCATTGGCATGATAGCCCATCTCATGATTGCATAGACGAAAAATAAGCATATTGTTTACCATTTTCCATCAATGCAATATAACCATTTCTAATTTAAAATAGGTGTATCAAGGAGCGAGCAACTTATTAAAAAAAATGTATTAAACAACTGCTTTAAAGATTGATTGATTGATTGATTGAGCTAATCTTCGCATTTCCCTAAAACTAAAACAGTAATCTAATCTAGGTCTACCTCTACCCCTTCTAACTTTCGTTTCTGCCTCTAATATGTCTCTGACTAGACCTTCATGCCTGAGAAGGTGTCCTAGCAACCTATCTCGCCTATTTCTTATTGACATCCATAGAGTCCTCTGTTCTATTCTTTCTAATACCTCTTCATTTCTAACCTTCTCTATCTAACGTATCCTCATCATTCGCCGGTAACATCACATTTCTTCCAGCATTTTCTTTTCGTACCCATATAGCGCCGTGCTCCAAACATACACCTTTAACAATCTTTTTCGAATTTATAAATTAACCGTTCGCGAGCATAGAAGTGACTTCTTTTTATTGAAGGCGACTCTACCCTGTGCTATCCTCTGCTTTATATCCCTACTACTCCTTCCGTCCTGACTTATTTGACNAAGAAATAATAATTTTCGCGGCGAGGATTGTGGATTATGTATAGGTACCTATTTTGCTGATTCATTTTTTTGACACCTATTCAACTTTTTTGGTTTGTATTCGAAAATGATATTTTGGAAACAGTTGCATGTCTCCCTTGCAACAGTCTCGCGCCCCCTAGGGGGGCGCGCCTCACAGTTTGGAAACCACTGTACTACTCCGTTAGTAGCTAACAAACCAGTTTACATGCGTCTAAAACATTAAAAGAAATTAAATCTTTTATTATCACGTAAGTGTCAATGTAAATTTTCGTGTTCCAGGAAAGCCATGTCCAAATCGCCATTGCTCGGGTCGACTAGAAATACTTCCGTGTCGAGGACATTGTGGATATCCTGTGACGCATTTTTGGCGACATACAGAATACGCAATCTTCTTTCAAGCCAAAGGCGTTCACGATCATCCCAGACCGGAAGCTAAAAGCACCTCGGAAGCGCGACGAAGTTTAGGAAGTGGTCGAAGAGTACGAGGACTAGCGGTCCTCTTAGCAAGAGAAGCAGCTTTAGGAAATAAGGTAAGCAATTTTCATTCTTTGCTTTGATTCAAATGAAGGCGAATCGTCTCCTATCTTTATATTCGCTCTTTCCCTACTTCTTCTATACACACTAGTATTTTTGTTTTACTTTTATTTATTTTAAAATACTCGTAAAATTGTTGATTATGTTTTTAATTTTATCAAAATGTTTTACCCTAATAATCTAACAATTTCCGAAACTAAATTAAGATAGAAGATACGAATGTAGACATCCTCAAAATTGATTTTATCCTTAAGCAAAGTTTGTGAAAGATTGCTCTAAAGAAAACGTTTGTTGAAAATCCGTGATATGTAGGCTATGTACCATGTAGTTTATCTTCAGGTATGTCGAATCATCCTTTTTATCCGTTTTGTTTTGTGTGTGTATGGTGCAGGCATACGTCTCCACCGTCAGCAGCTGTGGCGGTTATGACAACGTGCCGTCCATCGTATCCTTCCAACAACAACAACAACAACGGCGGCAGCAATCCAACGTCGACCGCGTCCTCGACGTCTTCGGATTGGGACATCAACGACAGCACGATCCCGCGGATCAGCGAGTATGACCACTTCTCCGAATGGGCCGACGGTCACTGTCGACTCGTCTATCCGGCCAACTCGGAGGAAGCTAAGAGACACAGTTCCGGGTGGGCGATGCGGAACACGAACAACCATAACGTCCACATACTAAAAAAAAGCTGCCTCGGGGTCCTCGTCTGTTCGCAGAGGTGCATCCTACCTAACGGAGAACGTGTACATCTCCGGCCGGCCATCTGTGATAAAGCGAGGAAGAAACAGCAGGGTTCGTAACATTCAAACTAATTTACTGCCTATCCATATCAATAGTTTGGTCGCGACATGAACGATTTACTTTATTAGTAAGTTTATACAAAGATCGCTGGTAAAACCCTAGGTAAATTTGGAGTTTTTGTAAAAATGTGCTTGACGCAACGTTATTAAATCAATAAGTGTCTATTGGTATAGTTAATGAAGAACAAATCGTTAAAAATTTGGTCATGAATTACGACCTGCAGCGTGCCACTATATCATGCCACGCATTTCACTTTTCAAAAGAATACTTTGATGATATTGTAACCTTTAACAGTTCCACTATTGGCGGTTTTCAAGGATCTGCACCCGAAAAGTCTAAAGGAACCCTACGATTTTGTCCACATGCCTACCTGATCGTCTGTCTGATGCTTCTAACATTTACAAAGCACTAAATAACTCAAACCAACGCTAAAACGCGATACTAACGGATTTAAGAAAACTTCAGTCCCTAAAAATGAAAAGGAACTTGGTGTCGTGTTTTGGCATGGGGGTTTGAACATCGCCAAAGTTTACTGTCTAAGCTGTTGCTGTTCTGATTCGAGTCTAAAAGATTTTTCTATTGTCTTAGAGTATATTTTTAAATACGATTTTCATCTTTGGGCCATTTAAATAACGATCTTCTTCAGTGGTCCTACCATCTCCGATGCTGGATGTGGACTGGTAGGACCTCTGAAGAAGGTCGCCACTCGTGTTAACGAAACGTTAGAAAGCAACTTTAACCAACTTTTCCTGACTAATAACAATAAGTGAAGTGTGACATTGACTTGAAATTCACATAATATGTATGATATTTAAATGGTCCAAAGATAAAAATCGTATTTAAAACTACACTCTGAGACAATAGAAAAAAATATATCTATGCTTTTGGGGTATTATCCTTAAGAAGGACTTTGGTTGTTGATGATCAGAAATATTTTTTCGACATAAATTAGTACATTTGGAAACCATCTATGCAAGAGGCTTCTAATGAAGTACATAACAAATCCTAAAAATTGTTTAGTACATAACAGCAAAAAGTTACGAATAGTTTCAAAAATTTTTAGAACTTTAAAATAAAGAATTGTATTATCGATTACTAATAAGTTCTAAAAATGATTAAAATTTCTTTAGTCTTTCCACAACACAGAACACAGCAATTTTTTAGATAAATATTCCTCTATCTTCAAAAAGCGAATTAAAATTTGACTTCTTACAAAATTACCTCAGAAATATATTACGGGTGCTAGTCCTGCTAGTCCAGTGGTTTCCAACCTTTTTGTACCTGCGCCCCTTTAAAAAAAAATTGTTGCGCCCCCTTAATTTTTCTAACAATCTAATTTCATAAATACACAACCGATATTATAATTTACTTAATGGGCTACAAAATAATATACAATATTATGTAAAAATAGTAATTTTCGCGGCGAGGGTTGTGGATTACGTACACCTATTTTGCTGATTCGTTTTTTTGACACCTATTCGACTTTTTTGGTTTGTATTCGAAAATGATATTTTGGAAACAGCTGCATGCCCACCTTGCAACAGTCTCTCTGGTTGTAAACCACTGCCTTAGCTACTTAAACCGATCATCATGAAATTTTATACATACATTATCAGGGCTATCTTTTATCCAGAAAAAAATACTGTTCTCGAGGGATAGGAAAATTAGTTTTATGATTGTGATTTTATGATTGTGATTGTCGATGATATTTAACATGTATTTAGAACATCAATGCGAACAAAGCCTAGGGTAAAACTTAGTAGGTAATAAATTCGTCAACTTGACATTTGAAAATGGTTTAATAACATTTAGAGAGTCCCAAAATCAGAACATACCACAACAGAGTTTTCTTTTATTACGACAAATCCACAATTTTTGCCAACTTCGCTGAAGCAGCGCTGGTAGGTTTTAAAAAGTCAATTTTCTATTATCTGCTTTGTTCTTTAGGCAAGGTATTCAAATAAGATTTTGGGAAATAAGTTTAAACAACTTTTCGTGAAGCGAAGTAACTTTCTTCTATTTAAGGAAATTCGCCTTTTCATCGAACCGCTCGTTCCCTTTCTGTTGGTGTTATTTTGTTGTTGTTATAGTAGATAAAACGGTAGCCGCGACCGAGTCGCACTGTGGAGAATTTTATGTTAGTCAGGTGGCATATATGTATGTATGTATGTGTATGTGTCGTTGTACGTGAGGGGGTTGCTTCTGCGACCTGGAAAACCATAAAATGAATGCCAGAAAGTTCTATTGCACCACGCCACACCCGTGTTACAATTTTCCATAATTAATACTGGAAAATCCGCTGAAATTCAAATGGAAGTTCAAATTTGAACGGGCTCAGGTAGTTCATGACCTTAGATACATATCTAATTTATTATAAGCGGAAATTACATGAGATTTCATAATACAGGGCAATTTATTTGTAATTTAGATTGTGCATAGATAAATGCATGAAATTTTAATGCTGCTTATCAGATGTACTCATGAATGAAACGACTTGTATTGTTTGACAAATGTGTGTCATTTTTTAAAGAAGTGTTATTTTATAAAACTGCTCTTCCAATGAGTTTCGTTGAAAAATGATGGATTATATATACTTAAAGCATTCGTATATAACAGAAAGTTCGTGAAGGAGCTTTTAAATGATGTGTAACACAAAACATTAAAAACGAATATTAGCCATTGGTTTTTGTATTTCTTTTTGATAATCTC